CTTAACATTTTCGGTTTATGAGGTATTAATAATCAAGTTTTAACAGTTATAATGTTCTAAAATATTGTATTAGAAGCGCGGGGCTTTTAACAGCATACTGAGAACACTACAGTCAACATGACTTAACTTCTTAAATACAGATCTAAGAATTGATACATACTAAAAACAGTGCTGATAGCTAAAAGCTTAGGAGATAAAGTTGTCTCAAATCCAGATCTATCACATTTTGGCTATGGATTTTTGGGCAAGTTACTTTAAATTTTGGGATCTTAATAGAATAGGACAGCTTCATGAAGTTGTTTGTGAGAATAAAATGTAATAATCCATGCAAAGTGTCTAACACAATGTAAATGCTTACTATATACTATAATAACTATGATATTATAAGTAATATCAAAATACTCAGTTAAACTTGCGCTTCACATAGGATACTTAAATTATTAATTTAACTAATTAATGAAAAAATAAACATATTGTGTATATTTTAAAAAATGTACACTATGCAGACATAACTTTATGGTATAACCTTAGTAAATCTAAGTTTCATTCTCTGTGCTCCCATGGTACTATGTATAAACTGTAAAAAATACAGAAATAAGAAAATAAGCTCTGCCTTCAAGTTTGAAAGATAAAAACACACCACAGTTAAAAATATATGTTATCATAAAGAGAATGATAAAAGTATTATAGACTATTTGTTAAGTATACTTTAATATAAAGTTGGAAAGAAAGAAAAAAAACAGAATTCCCTGAGGAACTTGGAGAAGGTTCCTTGAGAACATTTCAAAGTCTTCTCTTTATAGGTTCCTCCTGGCTTCCTCTCACCAAACTACCAACCAGGAATTGATGTTCTTCAGATCTCTTACACTAACTAGTAAGAATTAAAACTCTCCAAGTTGTTTCATGCCACACACTTATATGTGACACCTCTAATATTTTTAAAGATAAAAAAAGTTTACTTTCACATATAGGGCAATGCTGTTTGAGGAGTTAGCAATATTTGACTGACTAGGAAATAACGACCTGCAGATCTTTTCAAATGGCTTTGACCTTTCTTTACAGTAAAGTTACTGCTTTTGAATACCAATTCTAAAAGGAGTCAAAATGATGTCTAGTTAAATTACACTTATGATATGTTATAAATTAGTCAAAAGAGAAAATTATCTCAGCAATATAATAACTGGAAGAAGAAAGCTATACTGATACATGAGAATTGTCTGATAGTTTATTGAAATAGATCCAATAAAAAAATCAAGATGTATTACAGGACTTAGTGTGCTTATATGCTTTGTAAAATTTCATTCAGATTTGCAAAAGACATTTATATCAAGTCAATGAAAATGGATAGTTGAAGCAATATGATAAATTCATCAAAAAGTATATGAGTAATCTATTGTTAATCTATTGATGGGCAGAAAGTAAGGCTACCTCAGGGATCATCCTTTGAATGACTCCATGAAAGACTTGCCATTACCCTGCTTCATCAATGATATGCTACTGGTATTGATTTGAAGCCTTTATCACTTCATTTGGTTAAAAAAAGGTAAGAATCTATATCTACTTTTAGCTTAAACCACAGTAACTTGTATTTCATAGCAAGCAGATAATTCTGAAAGTGAATGCTAACATAGTTTTTCTCTTTTTTTTCTTTTTTTGGGGGAGGGGTGGGTATCAGGGATCAAACTCATGATTTTGCGCCATGCTGCTGACCTAAATCCCCAGCCCCTATTATTGTTTTCTTACACCACACAATGTACTACTGGATCCATTACAGTGTACTTTTGGACACAAAGTATGTTCAGAAATCCTAAGAGAAATGGTTAGGCACTATACCTTTACTGACATAAAGAGAAATTTTTTTTTTTATTGCTGTAAGAGAAAAATTCCTTTAAAATCTTTTTGTATTTAGTCTAGAAAATGCTACACAGTTAGAAAACTAATTATCTAAAATACTGCAACATGAAACCAACTGAACAAAATTTATCTTAGGTACTATAGAAAAGCTAGTAAGAAATAAATCCAAGACTTTATAGAAATGGGCAGAAGACATGAGAAGACCCAATAACGCCAAAGTAATTTTATGATTCTTAAGATCTTGTACACAGTGAAAGTAAGTAGATATTTGGTCATGCAACAATGCTTATTTATTAAATCTTTGGCAATTTTCAAGAAGTTTTGTAAATACCATTTAATGTAGCTAGCCAATAACCCACAAAAGTAAAGAATAGGGTATTTATTCTCATTTTATGGTGAAAAACCCTAGATCACAAGAGATTTAGTGACAAAACCATACCCTGTAATTGTCAAATGTAATGCTTTTTTGATTGTATAACCAAATATGGGGTTGTTACCCAGCAGTAGTACGATAATTCAAACTCAGGATTATAAATTTATTTGCAGGTCTCAGTTTTCAGTTTAAATTTATAAGTAAATACTTTCAAGCCTGATCTTCAAAAGTGGAAAAAATATTACCTATAAAAAAATACATTAATCATAATAACTAAATCTCATTGTATTGTATTTACTGTACCTTCTACTACATTTCTACTTTCTGCCAAAAACAAATCTTTACTTGCTGAGGAAATAAGGTTAATCTGCCACAAACACATCCTCTTAGTAACTTGTACAAACTACTTAACAGTCTCTCTCAAACTGGTAGAGCCACAGAAATGGAAGAGTATTTTTCAATGCAGTAATCAGTGATGAATTCATAAAGTAACTAACATAGCAAAGCTCAATGGCAAAGAAGACTGTCACCAGGTGAGGACAAAGGAGGTACTAGGTAAACCATGTTAGGAATGTTCACCCTTTTATTTACTCACTTAACAGTATGCTGGAAATTTACAGGTAAGCTTACAGAATAAGTAATTACCATGGGCTGGGTACTATTACATAATTATATCTTCATTCTACAGTTAAGGAAACTGAGACTAAATAAGATGCTCCAAGTTACATACCAGGTACCACTTTAGGAATTTTAATGTAAGCCCTTTGATGTCAGAGCCTTGGGTCTAAATGAGACTTCTGTAGACTATCACTTGTGGGTCAAATCAAGACCAACACCTATTTTTATACAGACCCATGAATAAATGAAAAAATATTGTTAAAAATTTTTGTGATGTGAAAATTATATGAAATTTAAACTTCAGTATGTACACAGTCACATTCATTCACATATTGGCAGTGTTTGCCATTACAAAGGAAGAGTTGAAAAGCTGTGACAGAGAACAAATGTGGTCTATAAATCCTAAAATATTTACTATCTGGCCCTTTCAAGAAAAATTGCTGGCTTCTGCTCTATAATATTCCACTTTATGGCTAGTCAACATCTCTACCTGCATATATAAAGAAAGGCCTCACACTGATACCCAAAATCAAACTCCTGATTTCCTCTACCACCCACATCTTAATCCATATCTCAGTAATCTCCCTCATTGGAAAATCTATCCTTCTAGTTATAAACACTATATTCCTAAAGTAGCTTTAAGTCTTTCTTCCTTTTAATCATTTTCAAAACCATCAAGCAAATCTTCTTGCCTCTATCTTTGAAGTATCCAACCACATGTCATTATTTTTACTGCTAGCATCCTGGCCCAAATCATTTCTGAACTAACTTTTCACCAATTCTCCCTTGCTTCAACTTATGCCTAATGTAGCTGTCAGAGTGCTCTTCAATTAACAAACTCTATGTACTTCTAAACACTCCCAGCATAACCCTATCTCAGGGCTTTGAGACTAACTTGTCTCCTTATCACTATAAGCCTCTTCCCAAATGCCCACATTATATGAGCCTTCCTTCTCCATACAACTTCATGCTTACTTTTGGGCCCTTAAATCCCATTTTCTCTGCTAACTGATTGTTTCCCATACTACAACCTTTCCATACCATGCATAAAACTGGTGTTTAATTGTATTTAAGTTTCATGATGAGTTCATTTTCTTTATTTGGGTATCTCTGGCACAAGACCATGGTCTGGCATATATTAGGTGTGTAAGTAGACATCTGCTGAGTAAACAAGAAAGTATTTCCTATATCCAAGATGCATGTAGTCAACTGACATATGGAGACGGATTAACACATTCAACTTTTAAACACTTGGAGTGGTTAGGTTTTTCTAGTGTATTTGTTATGTTTTTCTACTTTCTTATCAAAGGTACTCTAAACAAATCAGACTTCAGAGGTCTCAAGCTAAAAGAAGAAAGAGATTACTCTGTAATTCCATGGTCTATGTATGAAATCATTCTCACCAACAAATCTACTCCATTGGACAGGAGTACTGATTGGTGTTCAAATTGTGTGTGTGTGTGTGTGTGTGTGTGTGTGTGTGTGTGTGTATGTGTGTGTACTGGTAAGTGAAACCCAAACCTCATGCTTGCCAGGCAAGTGTTGCACCACTAAGCTATATCCCAGGCCCCTCAAACTCTTTCTGAAACACAAACTTCATTGGTTTTAGTCTGAATTCCCTTAATTGAGTTTCTGCTTCTAGTTCTATGCTCTCTAAGCATACTGCCTTTTCTCCTCCAAAGTCTTAAGTCTCACTACTTGATTCCTATCACTACTTTTTTTAAGAGACACTCACTTCTTAGCCATAAATGCAGTAGTTTTTACAACACTAATATATTCTTTAAAATAGTGCCATTCCTAAGAATGTACTCATATTTAGTCAGTGTTTTGAGGAGTTAACAGGAGCACTCTACTGTTGGACCTGGAGGCAATGTCAATTACAAACATACTATATGTATGTATATAAGTAAACATGTGGGTGAATTCTCAAATAGTAAAATGCATTGATGTACACATTACACAATCATAAAAAAATAATGATGTTCCTAGGACACTGACCTGTCTGATGGCTTCTTTGTTTCCTGGCCATTTTTTTTTTTTTTTTAAAAACTAGGAAAAGTAGTTGGGAGTTCTAATTTATTGACTTTTAAATAAATATATGGGAAAGCTGCAGATGTTGTAAGAGAAGAGAATCGATGACAAGAAATAGCCATACCCTCTTCTCCAGTCTAGCCAGCTGCTCTTTGTAGAACGCATCCTGTTTCTTTATCATTCGGTCTTTCTCTTCCAGCTGCTTAGCCTAAAAAAAGAAATGAGGAATATACTATATCAAGAAAAAGCAGCAACAGCAAAGTAAAAATCAACTATAAATCATATTAGAAGTACACAAAGCTGAAAATTTTTGCAATCCACTAGGTCTCTGCCATAGAAAAACATTAATACGATGATGATTGCTGTACTTAAATGCAAAGAATGAGCCTACACTGTACTTTTTAAAAAAAAAGTATAACAGCTGTGTCCTACTTTGTCCAAATGTATTTGGAAACGTGAGAATGTAGCACATAACAGACTGTCTTATTGAACTTCTCTTTTGAAGAATAATTTCAAGGATTAATATTTATATAATAAAATGTGATTTTAATCTGAGAATAAGATAATGGTTTCTAACCTTTGTGAACAAAAAAAAAATGCTTATATACCATTTTGTATGAAGGCTTTACTTTAAGAACTCTTATATTACCTAAAGAAATCTATGTATGGATACAGGATACGGGGGGGGGGGTGTTTTGCACAATAATATTGTAATTATTTACATAATCCAACATAACAAAAGTAATTATTAAAACTTATCCTATTTCTAAATTATAAGATCTTATTTTATAAAATTTGAAAAGTGGTGATATATTTGATTCTTCGAAAAATTAAAAATGACTATGATGTTTTTCAAGATTAATAAAACTACATATTGCTAAAATTGTTGGGATTCTGAATTGTGTTTAATTGACCTTTGTTTCTAATGGAAGGGACATCATTGTATCATCTCGTTAGAAAAAAATTTAATATATTTGCTGTTGTTGTTCAGCAAATAGTAATACATGTCTGAATACTTCTTGTAAGAAAATAAGTATGTTTTGGCATTCCACTCTGCATAAGCCACACAATTTTGTAAACTGATCGAGTGCTGATCAGCTCATTTTAGTTTAATTTTCTTCTTAGTTTAGGTAAATTCATTTGTACTCTGTGGGTTGTATTATTACTTACTTTGTCTTCAAAATCCTGAAGCATGTTAAAAACAACGAGCAAATAATTATTTAATAATATAAATATCATTTTCTTAATATAACAGAGAAAGATAAGACAATGTCTAAAATGCAAACCAAAACTGGAAATAGACATATGTAACTTGGAACACTTTCAAATGTCACTGCAAGGTGACAATGAAAGGTTCATGCTACCTAAAAGTATATGAATAAATAAAACAAATACTATGTTAAGATTAAATAAAAATAAATTCAGATAAGAGAACATAATCGATGGTACCACACCATAAAAACTTTAGTAATCTACCCAAAATACAAAAGAATATGTAAATGTAAAAGTGATTTGTGTATTCACATGTGTGCATGTGTACATGCATGGTGCTCAAGCTCAAACCCAGGGCACTGTGCATGCTGAACTAGCACTCTACCATGGAGCTGCAGAAAGAATTTTCAACAGAAAAAACTAACTGGAAAAAAATATCCATGACTATATTTCTAAAAAGAAAAAGACATCTTTATACTCAACACACACCTAAAATATAAAGAAAATGAAAAAGAATGGACACATAAGAACCTCATAAAACAAAAACATCATAAAATCTGTAAAGAATAAACAAATGACAGAAAAGAGGAAGAGAAACCCCAATATGTAACTGTGTAAAGTTAATGTTATATGCTCACAACAGGGTTGTAATTCATATGTCTCAGTGCCAAGTAACTCTGATGTGAATTCCATTGTCTAATGATATATAGCTAACCACCTGTGTTTCAAGTCACCTGATGGGACAGTCATGCACGTACCAGCTGAGGTTCAAGCCAGCAAGAATGTATTAACACATGAGCATTTAAAAAACAAGCCTGATCCTTCCCTAGTTCCCCTGCCAAAAAAGAGCCAAAAGGTAAACAAATTCAAACACTTAGAAAAACAGAGTACAAATTAAAATAAGGTTACATTATTCATCTATCAACTTGACAAAAATAAAAGGTTGTAATGGTCACTACTGGCAAACAAACTGGAAAACAGGCTCTCCTATACAATGGTGGTCAGGATGTAAATTGGTATAATCACTTTATACATTAGTTTAATAAAATGCACTAAATCTTAAAAACAAACCTGTGCTCTGCGATCTAAAACTGCACTTTTAGGGCTTTTCATAAGGAATTATGTAACACGTATACTCAAAATACAGTAAGTAGAAATGGGAGAGGGCTTATAAACAGAAAGGGCAATAAACTCTCTTAAAGTGGGGGGGACTAGAAGGATATTCTATAAAATGGTCGCAACATGGTAGTAGGCTTATGGATGGTTTCTATTATTCTTGCTTATTTGTATTTTGAGAATTAATAATAAATTTGCTTTGTAGTCAGCAGACAAAAAAAGAAAATTTTTTGAGGTGAGGATATGTGTATTTTTCTTTATGATGGCTATGCCTACGTAATTGTATGCATTTGTCAAAATTCACAGTTATATATAAAAAAGAAATCAATCTAACTATATAAAATTGAAAGTAAATATAATTTAAGCATAGTAAAATTTATGAAAATTCATCAAAGGATGGATGTGTATAAAGTATAACTGTTACCTTCTTGTGTAGCCAATTTTATTTCTATCATAATAATTATTCAGTACTAGTAAGTATTAAGAAAAGTACAGAAGAATTGTTATCTAGGAAAATTTAAATTATTATTTAAAGCAGCAACAAAGTTGGAACAGAAGTTTGAGTAAATAACTAAGATGTGGACCACCAATCGGAAATTAATTACAAAGATTCTGGCTCAGTCCCATGATCCAGCATTATGAATCATTAAACTAATGCTTTAGTAAAATAATTTTGGGAGATTAAAAATATTAAGTGGGAAAAAGCAACAAGTCAGAAAATAGCATGAGCAGTAAATTCCTAATTTGAGACAAAGACTTGGGGAATGGAACAGAAGAGATGGATACAGCAGGTTGAATACTTGGCCACACAGGCATGGAATGCTATGATATGTGCATAGGGGATTTATTTCTTATCTGGACAGGACCTTGTTTTCTATAATAAATATTTATTCTATAATTAGAAAACCACATTTAAAATATCAATATATTTAACTTTTACTATGAAATAGAAATGTAATGATACAGAATCTAAAAGAGTAAACCAAGTAATTATAGATTAAACACCTACAATGAACAGTTATAGATGAAATGGAAATTATTTTACTTCCTATATTCTTAGTATAGTAGCAGCAATGTCTCTTTCCATTCTACATATGACTCTATCCACAGCTATAGAACACTAGCACTATATGTTTCTTTTTTTCACACAGCAAGATTTATAAAAAAAATGTAATAATGCTATAATGGATATTCCATTACAGTTATCTAGAAGCCACTAAGAGAACTCAATACTAAAAGTGTATTGCTTGTGCCTATTGAGAACACCAGATAAACCAACATATTTAATTTTACATACAACCTAAATAAAAGCTATACAGAAATGTCTCCATTCACTTTTCTGGGATACAAGTAGCTTTGAAAATTTTTATAGCAGTACACCAAAATGTCAGATATATACATAAAAGACCAAAAAAGGAAGGAATCTCCAAAGATCTGACATCATCAAACTATAGGCTAAATAAAAGCACAAATCTTTTCCTCAACTGCAAACAGAATCAATAGTTTGAGAATCACTGGGGAGAATAACAAACCAAGAAACATGGTCACAACACTTTAATGGCACACTGCTTTGAAACAGTTAATGGGATGCTGGAAGGAAAAGTCACACGATATGAATCCTGAAACTTAAATAAGCCTAGAATACATTGACTAAGTTAATAGCTGGTGAGGATGGAGAGTCACATTCAACTTAAGAGCAGTAAACTAACTGCAAGAAAATAAAACTTCTCTGTAAAACTCTCTAACAGACAGAACTGTTATAAATGAGCAATAAAAACAAGGAGGATTAAAATATTATTTATTGTGGCACAATTCATTCTTAGAAGAAAACAGAAAGTCTTTCCATCATCTACTGTTTGCTATTCCTAGAAGAAATATACATGATTAATTTTCAGATCTTGTTAGATTTGCGTAACATGACCGGGCTTGAAAATGTGACAGAACATGCTTAAGTGGATCATTATGGAAATCTAGAGACTCCCACAAGCAAGAAAAACAAATAAAACAAGAAAATCAAGTTTTAAGAAAAACAATAAACATTTTTATGCCTTAATTCAGGGTTGGTAAGTAGATTTAAAATGAAGTATACATGTACTTATTTCCTTTAAGACTTGCCTTTTCTCAGAAAAGACTTGAAGGTACTTTGAAGTAAAATACATAACAAAGTCAACACAAGAGAAATCTAGTATTGTGGAAAGTATGTCTTGTGCTGATAGGAACTTTACCTTCTCACATCTATTATTAGTAAAGTTTTATAATGCAAACTTCTCTGTAGTATTATGCCCCGTTAACCCTGGTTGCTCCTGGGGACTCAAGTATAATACAAAGTACATGGCATTGCAAATCCAGTGACATTACAATCACTTAGCTCAAAGGTAATACACCGTTGCTTTATATGTCAAATACAAAACATGTTAAGAAAAGAATCTGTAGAATTGGAAAGTTTGTAAATTTTAAAAGACAAAGGTCCTCAAAATGTCACTGTTCGATTTCAAAAGTTCAAGGTAAAAAACAAAGCAGGTGCTTGCTCAATTCTCTATGAGATTATACGATGAAGCCAGAGACTAGTAGGACTGAAAAAAGGTAACAAAGCTAAATCACTCAAAACAGGAAATAGCCATATTTTGTTTTATTCTGAATCTTGTAACCTTCTGGACTGAAAAGATTAATCATTCACAGTGATAAGGATAATATGTGGCCTGCAAAAAAAAAAAACTATTATCTTACAACTCACAGACACATCAATATAAAAAAGTAGGGAAGGGACTTTATTCCTTGACAAAACTGCATAAGCCACAATACATGTGAACCTAATAAAACAATACGCTCACACAAAACAAAGAAATACGCTAAAGTATCAAATGAACTGAAACACAAGAA